GGGGGGGGGGGGGGGGGGGGGGGGGGGGGCGTACGGCATAATCAGGGGAGGGCGAGGGTAAAGTACTAATGCTGCACATTAATGTTGGGAAATTTCCAACGTCCACATAGAGATCCACGCATTTTCGTTCCGTAGTACACAGTTGTTGAAAAAACGGGACGCCAGGTAGGCATTGCACTACGGATGAGAGATGGGGGGGGAGGTTGAAGCGTGACGAGCGTGTAGCAGTGGCAGTACTCCTCAGAGGGCCGTGAAACAGGAATTCAATCCGAATGCCGCGGGGTCATGTTGCGAGGAGCTGTGGTGTTTGTTGTGGGGTCGTTGATGTATACTCCTGCTTGGAACACGATTGAAGCAGGTCTTCAGCTTAAGTCACGTCATCTGTCGGCGAACGCCCCAACAAAACACGCCCCAACAAGGCCAAGAGGTGCACCCAGAGCTTTTGGGAGATAAAGGTGACGCTAAACGCCATCGCAAACACGATGCCCAACTCTCACCGCAACCCCGCTCCTGTGTAAACACGATCAACCCCTTCTACTTTCTCTCCTTCCCTCCCTCCCTCCCTCCCTCCCTCCCTCCCCCCCCTCCCTTCCTCTCCCGCTCCCCCTCACCAGCAAAACGCGCTTGCGGAACCCGCTGGCCCCCGCGAAGGGGAACTTGGAGTACCAGAACCCGTCAACCCGACGTTGCAGTCGGCCCAAGGTAGACTTGACCTTGCTCAGCTCCTTGCGCCGCGCGCGCGCCTCGGGGTCCTTCTTCTTCTTGGCCTGGCTGCTGCCGCCGCTGCTGCTGCTGCTGCTGCTGCTGCTATTACCCTTGCCCTTGTCCGGGGTGGGGGCCTCGGCGTCTCCGGCCTGGCGATAAGTTTCCGAGAGGAGGCGGTTGTTGCACGGACGCTGGTGGTGCACGGGCGCGTGCGCGCGCGCACAAGTGTGTGTTTGTGGGGGGGGGTTTAATACTAGCGTCTACCGCGCTAACAGGCTGGCCGATGAAACCATGTCAGTATCACCAGCAAAAACACAAGAGTACTGCGTGTTGTACCGTTAGCATAGACTGCGTATGCTACTGATCGTGAACGCACAAAAACAACGGCGAGGACTTGAGGCCATGCCGGACCGAACCAATCTCGATTGGTCTCAAAACAAATAATGCGCTCGATCTACGACGCCATCAGACAGATTCTCCCGGCATTCGCGTGTCCTACATCACCGCGAAAACCACAACGACAGCTCCCCGTCATGTTCCCGCGGGTGCATCTACAATCGCACGTCGCCCCCCCC